TAGTCATAATTAACAGATTATGAGTATAGGAACTGATATTTATGGTTGAGGAAAACTCACAAGAGTTAACAATAAAATCAATTTTTGGTCGAAAAAATAATTTCTTTAATCTTTTTTGGGATTTTGTTATATCGTCCTTGGAGCGTAGATGAGGTGTTTAAGGAGAATGAATGAGCGAGGAAGAAGCAGCGCGGCAAGGTTTAGTGGAGATTTGAAAAAGAAAAAAAATAAAAAATAAAATAAAAGCAGGCAGCGGAGGGCAAAAATAAATAAATAAATAAATAGTAGCCTGGCCCAAATTATGTACGTAATTGGGGTAACAACAACTGTATATAAAATAATAAATTCTCCAATGTGTGTACGAAAATCATCATATTGAGATGGAATCTATTTTCATCTATCTATATAGTCTCTCCCATCTAAATATAAGACCCATTTTCATATAAACTAAATTTTTACACACACATGTATATATCATACTTCATAAAATCATATCTAAAAACTTATTTTAAAGTATGTTGTAATACAATAACAATATGTATGATAATAAAGTAATATAATGTTTCATTGTTGTAGTTGGTCTTTATTTTGATTTTTTTACTTATAGTTTCAAATTATAAATTTTAGTTCCCAATTCTATCAGTAAAAAACAATAATTCTTATATTTTAATTAAAATTTAGATTATTTTATTTATTGAGAGACTAAAAATATATTATTTGAATTTATAAATATTAAAATCAAGATAAAAGCGGTATAAACTATAATGATCAAACACTATAGTAACCCAATAATAAATATGTCTTTACATAAACCAATACATACAAGATAAAATAGCATATAACACTTGCATATTATTTTTTTAATGCATTTAGTATTCCAATATTATTTTTTAATTATATTTAGTATTTTAATTTTATTTATAATTCATGGTACTGGATACATTATAAATAAAATTAAGATATCAAAACATATATAAAATATTAGATGAACCGAAAATATAATTAATGTGTTAGATGAAAGGATGTTATTTTACTTTTTAGATATAGAGCATGTGATGGAATGTGTTTTTTGTACATAATAACCGTTTGTGCGCGTGACACTTTCATTCACTGTCCTGTCCCTATCTGCTTTATCGGATGGGTGGTCGCTCGGCGTGTGGTTGTGGAGAGCTTAAAATCACTCATTTGAGTATCTGGTCCCCACTTTTGATCGTGGGACCCACGTCTTCTATCATGTTTGATGTTTCCTGGGGGGCCGCGTTGCCATAATTAATAACTCTATATATAACAATTCTTTTTTATAATTTTAACATTTTGAAAAAATGCGGGAAGATCATGATTTAAACCACTTAATATAAAGAGGTGTTGGAAATAATATTGGTGAAGTGACGAAAGTCTATATTGAAATGTTATAAATGTCATTAGTAATGAGTAAATGATTTATGACAAGGGCATGTTACTTGTGTTTTTCTAAATGTTGAATTTGTAAATTGTAAATGACATTGATAAAGTTGTTAAACTCATTACAAGGGTCATATTACAATGAAAGGGATTTAATTACTTTAAAGTCTGTTAAGAAATAAATACTAAGTAATGATAAGTTTTAAATTAGGAAATAATAACAGTTTTGGGTTGATCATTTGTTATTATGACGTTTTGATAATTAAAATTTTTTTTATATAACCTCTTAGTGATTGTCCCTATTATAATTTAACAACATCGTAAATTTTTATTTTAGTCATACGTATTTATTTGAAATTTCGAATTTTGAGATATTCTATTCTTTTTTTTTATTCTGGTTTTTGAAATTCAAAAAGTATTTATTTTTTAAAGTTTTTGCTAATGAACATCATGTACGGAAACCATTTTATAAGATGTGATAGAAAGGAATCTTTGTCATTTTATATATAATGGAGCGCCATCCTTGTTTTTTTATATATAATTGTTTGGACACATGGCCCATTCAATTATTACATTTATTTATTTATTTTATTTAGGTCGCCACTGTATGGGCTGTCGTGGTCGCTGCATGGAAAAGCTTGGCGTCCCCCTTGTCGCTAATCTCCTTCCCACTCCCTATTCCTGGATTTGTCGGCTTCCAATTTTTTTCTAACTTTTGTTCTCTTCTATGAGGAGACCAAGATCAGTCACCAGTCTCCCTCATTCCCCGTGCTCCACTTATTTTATTATCTCGTAAAAGTGGCGCAGAGATATCCTGGGTTTTTCCAAAGATTGTTAGTCCCATTTGTTACGAAATATTAAAAATAATGGGCAAGGATTGAGATTAAAATTAAAAAAAATTTGTTAAAAGAATGTTTAGTATGAGTGATTACTTGTTACTTAGAATTGGACAAATTCATATATATAGGATTGAGAAATATTATGAAAGAGATGGTATTTTCTAAATACTCTAATAGTTTTTATCAATTCTAATCCAAATTCTTATTCCTCATCTTTAACGACGTACTAAACGGGACCATTTGTTCTAGTGGCACAAGATATTTTAGGGGGATTTTAATTGGGATGATGATAAACGATTTAGAACTTATTTGAATTTTGGCAATATTTTCATCACAGAAGATAAAATAATATCAAATTGATATCATAACAATCAATTTATGAAAAAAAAAAGTTATATATTAACTTATAAAAACAAAATAGTAAAATTTAAATTTCCTAATTTAATTTAGCTGGTCCAAAAAATGTTTGAACCTTCTTGCTGAGTCCTTTTTTTTTTTTTGGGAAAAAAATGTCACAAAATTGTTTCATTAAATTGGTAAAATAGAAGGCCATGACGCCGGCTAAGGCACTGATGACTGGTGTTTCCGTGAGGCATGATTGAGGGGGGAAGAAGGGAACCTCTCCACTTTCATTGTGATTAACTTCCTCTACCTTTTTTCGTAATTCTCATCGTTAGATTAGCTTTCAACAATTTATATTTAAGAAAAACTGAGGTCAAATTACTTATGTCCTTTATGTCAAGTTCTTCAATTACATATGGCCATGTGCTATCTTTTGTTTCGTGTGATTTATAATTAAATGCTATTAAATATTGATATTTCAAAAATAGGATACATGGTTATTGTCCTGTATTTAATATCTTATAAAACTATTATTTTAATATCAACTACCAAAAAAGTATATACATAAATTTAAATTATTAAAATTTGATTTAAATAGTTCACATATGTATATTTTTATTAAAATATTTTATATATCATTTTTATTTTTTATAAGATATTAAATTTTAACAATTCAAAGTTAATTTAATAGCAAGGATAAAGGAGGGGAAGAAAGTGGACAATAAGTGAATGGGACAAATTCTTTTCCTGAGATGTAAACCATGCATCTCCTTATCATTTTTGCGTAGGACATCTTATCATTTTTTTTAAAAGGAAAAAAAAAAAAGCTAGTAACAAGATGTCCTTTATGATTTTGTTGATTCGGATTCGTGTGACACTTTGTTTAGGATTAAAAATCCAATATAATATCACGAGATCAGACAACGCACATGTTATCTTTCTTTTCTTTTTGAATAAAAGTTACTAGATACAACTCAAAACAAAGACAACATCAAAAAGAACAAGTAAAACCTAATCACCTTCATCACCCTCTGCCTCTCGGTAGGGAGGAGGAGGTTGATCAAGGATCCAAAAAGATGTATCAAGACTATGTGAGAGTTTAGCTAAATAGTCAGTTAAGTGGTTTTCATCCCTATACACACGACAAACATTAATCTTCTAATCTCTATTAAGGAGTAGTCTAGCATCATCAATGATATCCTTGAAAGAGTGTTAGCCATCACTTCCCCTATTGAGTAGGATGATAGCATCTAAGCTGTCAGAGTGAAGTGAGATTTCGTTGAAATTCCTGCTCCAGCACATATTAAGGCCGTGAATGATCCCAATCATCTCTACAATCGTAGAAGGCACGTTTGCAACTAAACCCAACAATCCAATTTCTTGCGTCATCCTGTATCACTCCACCGCAACCGCTTCTTCCATCCTGCAGCACTGAGCCACCTATTGCCAGTTTTATCGTCCCTTCGGCATGGCCACTGTTTGGTTCCTCAAGTGTCTCATGGAACCTATAAAACCTGTAGTGTTTCACTAGGTCTTAATCTAGGCATGCTCTGAAGAAGCTTGAAAATCCATTGTGAGGATCATTTGTGCTAGGCGTGCTAAAGAGACGATTGCATTTAACCACCCATATGTCCCAGCAGATATAACCAAAAAGGGTAGCCCAAGGTGTGCTAAAGAGATGATTACATGTTATCTTTTCTTATCTCACTATACATATTTGTCATTTTATTCAAATCACTATACTATTTGTAAGCATAACGAAAAATTACGAATATACTCCCTCCAATTCTTTTGGGCCGGCCATATTTTTGTTTACAAATCTTCAGATTGGTCCTGACACACACACACACACACACACATGTAATTTAATTTTAAACACATTTGAGAGGCTGCAATCTTCATCATTTTCAACGGGTGAAAGCAAAAGAAGCTTGGCGTTATGGAAATTATTGTGGAAGTGGGGACACTATACCTATCGCATTTGCAGAATCTGCCAAAATCACTCACGTTTCACATTTAATTTCCCCATTCTTAATTACTTTCCCCCCTCAATCAATCATGCAGTACTCCTCTGATTTTTAATATAAAACCTAATTAACTAATTTGAGTAGATTAAGGATGTTAGTTAAATTATTTCATATGATAGTCTAAAACACCTTAAGCATATTCCTTACTTCCCTCCTTTCTTCTCCTACTCAATTATTATTGAGGGAATATCAATAGGGTTAATTTGGAAAAAAATGATAAAGATAGGAAATAGGTCTTACGTAAAGGAGCAACATTAACTTTTTAATTACGTTCTGCATTAAGAATTAGATGAATATTTAATAAAAGTGAGCTGTGATGAAGGGACTGTACGTAGCTGCCTCTATATATATGGAACAATAATGCTATGCAAGAACCATGCACAATCCAAACGCTTGGCTCAATATCTATCACCTTCTAGTGCACAATGAGTTTGCTTGCTACTAAAATCTTCCTCCTTTTCCTGGTTTGGTATGCTTCCATTTCTCTTACCTTTTCTTCCAGTGTGCCGGATGAGTATTCCCTTTCGAACCTGGATCTAGACAATCTCGTTTCTGACACACAAGTGTTCCATCTATTCCAAATCTGGAGGAAGGAGACAGGACGAGAATACCAAAATTTGGGAGAGGAGGCAATAAGATTTGAAATCTTCAAAAGCAATTTGAAGGAAATCAGAGAGAAAAATGCAGAAAGGAAGTCAGCCAGTGACTACAGCTTGGGTTTGAACGAATTCTCAGATATGACGTACGAAGAGTTCAGCAAAATGTACTTGCATGAGACAGAGGAACCCATGATGGAAATCAACAATAGCGAAATGATATTGAACGACGCATCATGTCCAGATGCACCCTCTTCCTGGGATTGGAGGACCAAAGGAGCTGTAACTCGTGTTAAAAACCAAGGCAGATGTGGTAAGTTCAAATTTGCTTCGTTCTTCTGTTATAATCTAATTGCAGCATATAATAGGAGCATATAATAGCAAATCATATTCGTGTTGTAGGTTCTTGTTGGGCATTCTGTGCGACCGGAGCTATGGAAGGTATAAATCAGATAGTCACTCAACAGCTTGTAGCACTTTCTGAACAACAACTCGTATCTTGCTCCGGAAGTGGAGGCTGCAAGGGAGGGTCGACCTTCAATGCATTTAAATATGTCATCAAGCATGGTGGTATTGCCTCAGAAAAAGTTTACCCATATACAGCTAACGCTAGTGCTTGCAATTCTGCAGCGGTTAGTGTTTAGACCTGTGTGAACTAATTGGGTAGTTTAAATATATGTAATTTTTTTAATTATGGTCTTACTCTTATTCTTATTCTGCCTTGATGCAGGCTGCAAACACAATTGCTACTATCGATGGCTATCATGATTGGTCGAAACCTATATCTGAAAGTTCCCTCCGTTGTTATGTTTACAAGCAACCTGTTAGTGTTTACATATATGGAAGCCGGGATTTTTTGCGCTACAAAAGTGTAAGTCATATTTTCATTACCTCATCATCATATCTCTAGCATCCAACAAAACACATTTGAAAAGTAATTGCTGTGACAGGGAATCTTTAATGGAGACGATTGCTCAAGCATCAGTTCATCATGCAAAATCAATCATGCTGTATTAATCGTAGGATATGGTTCAACCAGTGATGGTCAAGATTACTGGATTGTTAAAAACTCATGGGGAACCAGCTGGGGACAAAGTGGTTACATGCTCGTCAAAAGAAACACCGGTACTACTCGGGGAGTATGTAACATAAACTGTTATGGCGGATACCCAACCAAGGGGAAGAAAGAAGAACCTGCCTTGAAGCTTGCCACTTCCATGTGAATCAAGCCCTCCAGGAACAATATATAACGCCAGGCAATATAAAGCTGTGTGAAGGACGCCAGTTAGGTGTTGTACCATGCTTGTATTGCGTATAAATAAACGGCAAATGATTTGCCGTGGAATGAATAAGCCTGGCGGCGATATATAGCTATGTGTACCGTGGAATAAAGCTTATGTATAATTAAGAATGAAAGCTCTCCCTCTATATATATTTACTTCTCCTTCTTCTGATCTTCATATTGATTTAGAGCTCGCTGATAAAACATGAAGGTAAGTAAGTAATCTGTTGTGAAAACTTGATGTTGTTTTTACGTGGATTAATAATTTCTAAGTATTAAAATTGTAACCCGGATAAATCTTAACTAGCCCAGCGCAAGTGAGTTTGAGATCAAATTGAACTAAAGACATGCAAATAACAGACTAAACTTGAGTGACATGTTTTATATATTATGATGCGAAAAGCTTAGGATCCTGATTTTTTTCGAAGTATTTCAAATGAAATTGATTTCCTCTTTTTGCCCTGCTATTAATAGTAGCCGGATGTTTGGTAATCACAAAAATTACTTTTTAAAAAGTACTTTTACTCAAATTGAGACAAAACTCTCCTTACATATCTACTTCATATATCATAAAATTATTTTTAAAACCATGATTTGGTTTTCTTCCAAACAGCCCCTGAGACTCTTTCCTACAAAGCATCTTGTGAATCACTAATGTTTAGTAATCATTTCCTTCGAAGTATCTTATAGATGTGGTCTTTTTATTATAAGCTACATTTGGAGATATTTGAATATTTGATTTATTTTTTCATTTTTCCATTTTTATGTCAAACCGCTTGTCATTCAAAAAAAAATATTAAGAAAAATATATCCTTTATACGCTTGTTGGGCTTATGGATTGCCATCGCACTTTGTTAAGATGAAAAATCCTTTATTTCATTCTTCACAAATTACACCAGGCGAGAGACAAAAGTTGGGTAAAAATCCAATGTCATTACAGCAGGCAAAATATATTCTCAATCTTTTCATGTTGTCATGTGTTTTAAGATTAAATATGTATTCGGATCAATTACGTTCATATGGTATATAACATGATATGCAATAATTAGAGTGTTTCTCTTCCTCCAACTCACTCTCAACTGCTTTATTTTATTTTTTTTTAATTAATATAGATCCAAACTAAATTGCACACGAGTTCGTCGAGGAGGACATGCATAATTTTTTTAAGACCACATGCATTTTTTTTGTTGGGTAGGCTCACGGTATCTATGCCAATAAAAATGACTAATCCCCTCATACTGTGTTTTAGTGCTAATCATGAGACCCTTTCTATACACACTATACACACTGTAGGGATTAAACCCCCGACTAGATGTTTAAGGAACCTAGATAAGTGCTAACTGTGCTATCCACATGCATACTCCTCTGGTCCTATTTATAAATTATTTCTAATACTTTTCACACAGACCAAGAAAAACTTTAAACTTTATTAATTCTCATTTGAAATTCAACAACTTTTCAACTTTATTCCTATTTAATATACATTATGCCTCATATAAATAAAGTCAAAACCATAACAAATTAAGGGTAAAATTATACATTCATACCAAAAATTCCTCTCAATGCTTTATAAATAGTACCAAAAAATATCTTTTTTCTCTGCCACATAAATAAAATCAGAGGAGTAATATTTTAATTCCAGATTCCTGTCAACTGATAACTCCTGAACCAACGGAACTGTCAACCGCATAGGGTTAACCTCAATACAACGGGTGAGAATTAGTTCGCATTTATGAAGAGAATCCAAATGCCCTTGAGGGACAAGCACGTTAAACTCAAACACAATCCTATGCGGGGGGACATCCGTTGGTTCAGGGCTTTTAATTAAAGTCAACAATATTAAAATATTTGGCCCAAAAAAAATATTAAAATAAAATACTGTGCAACGTATAAAATAGGAAAATAGGAAAACTTTACCATTTTATGATAAATTTAATGAGTAAATTTTTATTTCACGGTATGTGAAAAAAGTTAACCAATTTCTTATATTATGGACTGAAAGGAGTTTTTTTTGGGGCTATCCATGGGCCTTTTCTTTCCTTGGTATATGAGAAAAGTTAACCAATTTTTTATATTATAAACCAAAAGGAGTAGTGTTTTTTTTTTTTGGCTACATGTAGGTATTTTATTTCTTAATATGTAAGAAAAGTCAACTAATTTTTTATATTATGAATCAGAAGGAGTAGTATTTTTTTTTTAAATTATGAAACAAACTAAAGGATTACATCAGGCAAAGAAAGGATCCCCGATTACCCATGCATCAACATGAAAATTAGAGGCCCATTGTGCACGACAATAGAAATATAGCCCAAACATAAGGAACTGAAACAACAAACCTAAAGGAACCCATAGGAGGCGCATAACACTGCAAGTTTGAAAGAATGACAAGGCCATTTTTTCTTGTCATTCACAACTTTCATTGAGGTAATGATCACATTTTATTATCTACGAACAATTTCGTTTAACATGCAACAAGATCACTCTTTCAGGGTCATTCACAACTTTTGTTTATATATTAACTACATTTCTTTAGTTACTGACAACTTTCGTGTAGTAAGTAATAAGGTCACTCATGTCATTCACAACTTGTGTTTATGTATTAACTACATTTCATTAGTTATTACAAATAAAAATTCAGTCAATATTTAATTACAAATAAAAATATTTGTAATCCGTTGCAATTTAGTTAGTGATGGAAAAAAATTCTCGCCGGTAATTTTGTTTCTAAATGAAGATTCCATCATTAAATTTCTTTAATAATCACATTTTTTTGGCTTAAGGTGCCAACTTGTTCTGAAAGTTTTCACTGAGAAGCACTGGGTACCCAAAAGTTTTTCTGGGAGCAAATTTGCCCTGAAAATTTAAAATCATGGCAATATTGTCTCTTACTGTTAAAAATATTAACAGTCAACATTACTATTTTAATGGTCAATGTCTTTTAATGGTAGGGAGAAATATTGCTATGATTTTAAATTTTGGAAGTAAATTTGCTTTCAAAAAAATTTGAATACCCAGTATTCCTAAGTGAAAACTTTCGAGGTAAATTTGCACATTAACCCTATTTTTACTGTAGTGAGACTCTGTATGATGGATGTAAATATGTGTAGTTTCTAGTTCTTAGTTGTCAGGTTCTTTAATTAAATCATAGCAACTCGAAGCAGGGATTTGCAGAGATTTTGGAATATCGACAACCAGAAGAGGATGAGGAAGATGATTGAAGTTTAACTGCCCTTAAATTCCAGTTAGGTGCAGTGAGAATAGGAGGTAAAACAAGCATAGATTTCAAAGTGTCAAAAGCATGTCTACACTTATCATCAAATTTAAATTCAGTATCCTTTTTCAATAAGGTAGAAAGAGGCAGAGCAACTTTACTAAAATCCTTAATAAAGCGCCGATAGAAACCTGCATGCCCTAATGTTGATGTTAATTTTGAGATTAAAGGTCCACTGCTTAATAATTTGCCTAAATTTTATGGTTTGACAGGTGAGGACCCGTACAACCATCTGAAATCTCTCTCTATGGTATGTGCTAGCATGAAGCCGGTTGGGGCTAATCTGGATGAGGTTCTTTGGAAGGTATTCCACTTGTCTCTGGAGGGCAAAGCGCGAGAATGGTACATGAGCTTGCCTAGTTATATGGCAGATGCCTACCATAACTAGAACAACCTCAGAAAAGCATTCTTGGAGAAGTATTTCCCTGCTTCCCGGACTTCCACATTGAGAAAAGAGATCTACTCTGCAAAGCAAGATTATGATGAGTCACTTTATGACTATTGGAACCGCTTTCAGGACTTACTTTCTAGATGTCCACACCATCAGATTCCAGATGAGCAGTTAGTCCAATACTTTTATGATGGACTTAAGACCCAAGATAAGGGGATGTTGGATGCTGCTTCTGGGGGTTCTCTTATTGATTTAACTGCTGAGGAGGCATGGGAACTTATCAAGAAAATGGCATTGAACCATCAACAGTATAGCATCAGGGAGTCTAAAAATATCAATGCAATGCATGCCAATCCTTCTTTAGTCCACATTCCTCAATTGGACACATTCACTTCTCAGATTGCTGCTTTGACTACACAGTTGAATAAGCTTGCATCTCACACTCCCCCTGTTGACACTCGGACTCCTAATTCCATGGAGATGACTGCACCTAGTTGTGAGCATTGTAACTCTGTTATGCACATCTCTGCTGCTTGCCCTCATAGATATGAGGAAGTTTCTGCCATGTATCAAGGAAGGGTCAATCAATCTAAGCAATGGAACCCATACTCAAACACATATAATGAAGGATGGAAAGCTCATCCAAATTTCCGATGGGGAGGAGGTGACAATAGGCAGGTTCAAGAGGGGTTTCAAGGGAATATGGTTCCTCAAGGGCAATCTTACTATGGAGGGTTACAAGGAGAATCTTCTAGAGCCATGTCTACCCCACAGCAATCACAGTCTAAGGATGATGAGCGGTTCTCTCGAATACTCAAGGGCATTGAGGCAATGACTGAGCACATATCTAAGTCTGAAGCTAAATCTGAAGCTAGATTTGCAGCCCTAGAGAATAGGATGGAGCAATGGGAAACTAGAACCTCTAATTTGACTTCTTATGTCACTAAGTTGTCAAATGGTGTGAGTGAACAGCAAGCTAAGGCTAGTGGTTCAATGCCTTCCAACACGGTGATAAATCCTAAATCTTTGAATGCAATTACATTGAGAAGCGGTAAGGAAATTGGTGCTAAGACAGTGCAATTCAAAGATGATGAAGAGGGTGAAGAACCGGTTGATGAAGAGATAGAAGTTGAGTCTCCTCCTTCTAAAACCACTCAAGACATTCCCAAGGCCACTCAAGAGACCTCCATTCAATCCAAAGAGCCAATAGAGAAAGGATCATCCTCCAAAGGTGATGAGGTAAATATTTCTGACTTGCCTTTTCCTCATTCATATCTCATGAGTAAGAAAGTTGTTGAAAAGAAAGATAATGATGAGCTTTTTGAAATGTTTAGCAAACTTGAGGTTAATGTGCCATTACTTGATTTGATT